ATTTATTTAAATATTTTGTTCCTTCTTTTGTTTTTGGATTTTTTTGTGGGGGGGGGGGGGGGGGGGGGGGGCATCAAAATAAAATTTCCTGCGGAGATCTTAGCTGTTAACACTGAGTGCAAGTTGCAGGCAAATAACCGGAGCCATGTTTGCCTTCAGGAGCTCATAAATCACCCCCGTGGCATGAAAGAGACGGACGTTAAGGAGAGCAATTGTCGCGTAATGTGAACAAATAATAAAAAACACCCACTTACGTTTTCATACGGGACTCCCCGACTCCTAAAACTAAAAAGGGGGCCGAGTCACTGCATGCGTTAGGCAATAATTCATTTTTATAGCTTGTTTGAACACGGCTCATGGCTCAGAGACAGCAGTAGAAGCAGCGGCAGTAGCAGCCGGTTCAGGATTAAGAGGCTGCGCTCAAACTTAAGCCAGACTCCTTTCGGAATATTGAACATTTATCAAATTCACTCCAAAGAAAAGCTTTCTCAAGTAGAGATTATTGTCTAAGCTTGTTTAACAGGAAATTAGGCGTGTTTGGGGGGATTTTACCACATTACTGGATGTTCGCATGTGTCAGCTGCTCCTTAAAGCCTCCTATTCAATGAAGGATTATTTCTAATCTTATTCAATGTGACTCCTCGTCAGGAATGGGGTTTTACTAGATATATTAAGTCAATACAACACATTTGAGCCAGACGTTAAAAGCCACGAGTTGCAATTGATCGATTTATAAAAACTTTGGCACATCAGCTGGAACTTTTCACTGAAAAATCTGAAAGCTAACCAACTCCTTCTGGTTATTTATTATTGGGCGAACAGTTGGGAAGAGTTATATGTATCTGCGTGTGTGCAGATGGGGTGTAGGATGAGGTCTGGAAAGGGGCACGAAGTGGGGCTAAAAAGTAAATTCAACTTTTTTCCTCCCCTCCCCTGTTTTTCCGACTAACCCTGGTGGAGGCCGTTTTAACCAAATCATTCCGAGACAGCGCGCCTTTTCTCTGCTCCTGCAGCTCACACAAAGAGCCGTGAAAAGCCTTCCGAGGTTCCTGCATGTGGCGACGCTGCTTCTTTCCATGAGCATAAGTGAGGCAGGAGCCTTCGCCCACTCACTGCAGAGGCAGCTGGAGGAGCCAGAGAAAAGAGAGAGGGGGGCATGGTGGGAGTGGAGGGGAACTGAACCCAGTGCGCTTTTTCCACCCCTCCCCGCTGATGGGAAGTTTCAAACAAATTTCACTTTATTTTCACTTTTATTTTATGGTGATGTCACATTTCCCCTATCGGAATCTAAACTCTTAAAGACTTTAAAAGGTAACATTCGACAGAGAGTAGCTGAAGCAATAATACTAATAATAAAAAAAACCGCAGAGGAAAATAAGAGAT